TCATTTTGGTGATGCCACATTGTTGAGCACTTTAGAAATTGTTCCCTATTATAAATAAGACCTCGGCGGATGTCTCGGTGTGTTTCTCTGTTGAGTTCTCTGGGATAAATCCCCAAAGTGGAATCATTGGCCAAAGCCTACGAACCTTTTAAAAGTCTCTGAGAATCTGTCCAATAGACCTGCAGCAGGTTACAGGTCACTGCCCACCCTGTAGAGAGGCGTGTCCTGACCCTGCCAGCTCTGTCTTTGGCAGGTAGGGTGCATTTGAAATACAACCTGACCCCTAGCACTGGACTCCTCCCTGAGATGCAACAGCTGCCACCCAACAGTTGACCTTGAAGGTCAGTTCCAAGGAAGAGGGACTGGATTTTCCCTTTTTGTTTGGGGTGGGGGGATTTGTCCCATGAGGCCGTTAGGATGTGGCCCACCAGCAGTGTGTGAAGAGCTCCCTGGTGATCAAAGACGCCACACAATGGGGTTCCCCACCCCACCCCTGCAGCAAAGACTCCACCCCGGTTCTGCTGAGGCTGAAGCTCTGAGGTTCGAGGACCAGGTGGCAGATGAGACCCAGGACCCCTGAGAACCCTCCCACTGGGACAGTTCTGTGAGCTGACCATCTAAACAGCAATTCTAAGTCATGAAACATTGAAAAACCTTGACTCCACTCGTTAAACCTCTCTTTTCTCAGCAGTAAGGTGGGGCTAGGAGGATTAAATTTGACTATGTTAATATAATAAAGTAACGATGGCCACTAGTGGCGGTGTGACCGGTGGTACGTGTACGAGTGTGAGAAGGTAGCATTGTGCAGCAGTTAAGAATCAGATCAGATTTGGTCTGTAGTCACACCACCACACACACCGGAGCAGCACACAGAGGCATTTGAGAGGGGAAGGTTCTGGGAGAGAATTGTTCACATTTTTCTCCATCTTTTTTTTTTATCACATTTAAAAAAAAAATCAAACCAAGCGTCCTTTAGAACACCTGGTACATGCATTTTACTTGTTTGCTCTTTAATTTTTCCATCTCGCAAAGTAACAATTACACAGGGTTCACGAAGTCTAACAGGACGGCAAGGCCCAAAGCACCGCAAGGGATGCTCTGGAGTCTGCTTGCATTGGCTTGTGAGAGCGTGTTGTTAAAATTTTAGGAGTTTTGCAAGCTGGTTGTTAAATACAGCCATTATTAAAAATTAAATTATGCAAACTTTCAATTAAATAAGTTACATTAAAAACAGGTACTTCATATTAAAGTGATTACATTCTAATTATTTTACTACAGTTTGTGCTCTTGAAATTATTTACATCTATCATGCACTCGGCCTCTGGTAGAAGGGGGTCTGCATCCACAGATGCAACCAACCACCGTTACGTTGTCACCAACGTGAACTGTGTAGTTAGGCCTGTGGTGGTTGCATTTGTACGGAACATGTGCAGACTTTTTCTTGTCTTTATTCCCTAAACAATGCAGTGTAACAACTATTTCCATGGCATTCACGTTGTATTAGGTATTATAAGTAAGTAGTCTAGAGCTGATTTAAAATAGACGGGAGGATGAAGGTGTATTAGAAGCAAGTACTGCTTAGGACGACTGTATCTATAAGGCAGAAATATGATATAACACGTGCTACTGTGGGTCTCTTCCAACTCTGCTGTAGGCGTCATCACCCCACAGGTTGGAATTAGACGCAGCGGGACTATTTACACCACTCCAGTGGGCACGTGCTACAGACCAGGGCCTCTTTCCTACTGGGGAGCCGGTGGTCGAGCATCTCCCAGTACCCCATGGCCTCTGCCCCCCACCCCATCCCACCTCACCGCGCTCCTCATCTCCCACTGCCTAAGGGTGGCTGCTTTTGTTGCTTTTAGCTGTTTTTCTTTTTGCACTTATCCCCATATTTCTTAATTACCTGCTTTTACGGCCACGTCTTGATTTTTTTAATCTTAGACGTTATCTATTGACTCCCTATTACGGAAGATGTGGATCTGGCGCTCTTCCAGCTCTGTCTCTCCTCTTAACACACACACACACACACTCACACACACACACACACACACACTCACACTCCCCTGCCTCTGTCCTCCTAGCATAGTAAAGCACAACTCTTTTTTAAGTAAATATTTGGGATTTTCATTATTATAACTGTGTCAATATTGTACAAATCACCATGCATTATGATTGCATTAGCTTTCTTATACAACTTTTTCTCCTGGAATTAATCATTTTACTTTTAACTTGCTTGATTTCTCTGTAGAACACTGGTTTTCAAACTTTTCTTCTTTGCAATATAATTTGTTTTTCTAACAAAATGTTATGTGAAATCCTACTATATAAGACAGGAAAACAGGAGCTGCCAGGTTGAAAGCCTTCCCTTCAGGGCTGCCACGCGGAGCCACGCAGGTTGTTTACTACAAAACTCTAGGGGCCGTTCACGTACACAACAATGGATTAAGTCGTGATGGTTATAATTACCCGCCCCACTGGGGGATGCAGCCATTGTACAAAGAGAGGTCCACCCAGACATGCACACTACATCAGGATTATTCTGTTTTCAGAAGACTTACTCCCTTCCCAACGGAGGGCTCTGACCTCTCCCCGGTCTGAATAGGTTCCAGGGATGTTGCTCCACTAGTCCCTCTAGTGCCTCACCCACAGGCTGCTGGCCAGAGCTGCTGTTAGCTGATGGCCACCTATTGACTGATGCAGTGCCCCTCAGATTTGCCTGGCCTGGGCTGGGTGCCAAAAGCTTAATGCAAACAGCTTTGCTCAGGGATCATTCCAATGCAGCCTCTGGGATCCGATGTCAGAAATGGCTCTGTCAGAGAGTGAGTGAGCTCTAGACGCAGACAGTGCAGGGCCCATCTGCCCAGGGACGTCGGAGCTGGAGGAGGGGAGCTGGCCGACCATGAGCAGAGGGTTCAAAAAGCTCAGCCTTGAGGATCTCACCTAGGTGGGAGTCCGCATTTCACTTTCAGCTGGGTAATCTTGGGCTTGTTGCTTAACCTTTCTGGGCCTTGATGTCCTCATGCTGAATGCACAGGGGTGTCGTAAGAGTTAAAGAAGATAATAAGGTGCAGCCCTAGTAAATCCCAGGGCCACGTGTGGCTCTGTCTCTGCTCAAAGTCGCACCTGAAGAAACATTGTTCAACAGTCTGAAAGTAATTGGAAAGATGTTCCAGTTTGAATTGCATCTCTCGTGTAATGTCAGAGGGGATCCCATTCTTAACTGATTCCCACTGTCCCCAAATCCTTTTCCTCCATTCTCTAATCCCCCCCCCCCCACCACCACCACGTCCAGCATCAGTAGAGCTTTCTGGAGTGCAACCCCTGGGGCTCTTTTCCTCTCTCTCTCTCTCTCTATCTCTCTCTCTCCCCCCCCTCCCTCCTTCCCCACCCGCCGTCCCGCTGCCATCTCCTCCTAGGGCTCTTTTTTCTCTATCCATCCTGTCATTGCTGGGTCACAGCAAAATAAATAAATAAAAACTAACGGATCTGGAATTGAGCCGACAGAGGTGCAGGCAGGAAGTGGGGGTGGGGTGGGGACAGGTGACAGCAGGGTCCGAGGTCCTGGTGAAGCAGAGGGCACCGTGGCAGGGCCTCGGCAGAAACGGGTCCTCTTCCTCGTTTTCCAGCCTGGGCACCTGAAGGAGGGTGAGGTATGACCTGCCTGAGGTGCCTCTGACCACCCTACCACCGTTAGCAGATGGGCGGTGATTAGAAGAGCCTTCTCCGTATCCCCCAAACCCTGCAAAAGCTAGTGTTAAAAAGGTGGAAACATAGTTTCTACCTATAGTTTTCCCTCCCTTCCCTGCCACCTTTACAGCCACTAAGCATGGACCTACCCTTCCTGTATCCTCCACCCCCACATCCCTTGTTCCATCTTTTGTGGACTCTACTCCCCTCACAGGATGTCTTTTGGGTCACATACTGAGCACCTGCTATGTGCCAGGCTTGTTAAGAGCTGGAGATTCAGAGACAAGGAAGACGTAGTCCCTGTCCTCTGTTGCTCACAATAGAAACAGACTGTAATTCGGTGCAATGATGTTATAATGGAGAGAAACCCAGAACACTGTGAGTGCACAGAGGAGGAGCTCTTAATACCTTAAGAAAGATCAGGGAAGACTTCCTGGAGGAGGTGTCCTCTAACCTGTACAGTAATAATAACTACTACCATATACTAAGCAATCTTTGTGATGATACTCTTCACACTCAACACTTTGCTAGGCACATTAGCTCATTTAATCTTTACAACAATGCTAAGAGGTAGGTATTGCTATCCACATTTCAGAAATGAAGAAAGCAAGGCTAAGAGAAATTCATTGACTTTCCCCAGTCCATATAGCTGAAAGGTGGCAGAGCTGTGATTCAAACTCAGGCTGTGCGACTCCAAGACTATGATTTTAACCACTGGGCCCTGTGCACAGGTGTTGGAGGTGTACACCGGGCCCTGTGTGCAGGTGTTGGAGGTGTACACTGAACAAGCCTGCCATATCTGGGGGCAGCACCGTTCGCATTGCAGGCAGAATAATTTACATATATGACAGTGTTCAGGTGGACGCTGAGGCTTGGGCCTCTGCACAGACTCCTGGAGCCGCAGGAAGGGTCTCCTCCTGATCCAGGCCTGGTGCAGCACCTCTGCTGGGTGCAGCAGGGAGTGTGGGAATGGGGAGAGTGTGTACACCCCATGTCTGGGTGCACGCTCTGCCAGGGCAGCCGCCTTTGGTCATTCAGACGGACAGCAACATCTTAACTTCAAACGTTTTCACTTGAAGAAGAGGCCCCTTTTGCCAGTTTTCATGAAGGTGTCATGTGGACCAGCAGTGTGCCCCCCACCCCGCCCCCATCGCCATACAGTGCTGGGGAGCACACAGAGCGTCTTGGCCCAGCCGGATGCAGGAACTCAGAGACCAACGGGACATTTTAGACGCTCAGAATAAAGGCTCTCCTTTCGGGGCCAGCCCAGGGCCATCAAACTCATGCCCTTCTCTCTCTCTTCCCGGCAGACAGGCAGGATTGAACCCAACTACCCCAAGGTCTGCGGTCACCAAGGGAACGTGCTGGACATCAAGTGGAACCCCTTCATTGACAACATCATTGCCTCGTGCTCAGAGGACACATCGGTGAGCAGGAGGGGTGTCCCGAGGAGGGTGGGCCGCTGGGATGCCTCCCTGCTTCTGCGAGGCCTTCCTCTGTAAACACTGCCCCCCTCCCTTCTTTGCCCTTCATCTGACCCAGGATGGGGAGTTAGGAAAAGGACTGATTGACAGCTCTTGTGCCATTAGAGTGCTTTTGTTTGGAGGTGTTCTTTTATAGGTGGGAAATCAGAACACAAAGATTGAATATGTGATTCAGCACGTACGTGTGGTTTGAAGAGGAGAAGGGCCAGAGGGAAAATATGGATGAGGAGGAAGGGGACAGGGAAGGAAACGGAGGAGCCGTGCGTGGAAAAGAGCCCTGCTTTTGTGGGCTGGGCAGGGCAAATGCACCGTCTGGCTTCGTCCCCTGGAGCAGGAAGGATGATTGGATGAGGGTGAAAGGAGAGATAAGTGAGTGAATGAATACAGCCCAGCTAATCGGTTACCCAAAGAGAGAGACTATACATAGTCTCCACTGGCTAATAAAGTTGGGGTGGGGAGCCCAACTGGCACAGTGCCTATTACAGGGGAGTAGTGGGGAGGGGGCTGAGAGGCTGGAATGGGCTTGACCAGCTCCGGAAGGTCAAAGCCCTGCGTCAACCCAAAAGGATCCCTGAGAGTGGCAGCAGCGAGAACAGGGCCCACGTGAGCAGAGGATCAAGAATTGGTGGTGATGTGGGCCATTAGGTTCAGTTACTTTGTTCAACTGAATGGGGACAGTGACCTGGGGTCAGAGCACAGGCAGGCCAGAGGACGGACACGAGGCGATGGAGCCCAGGATGGGTCTGGAAGCCCAGGAAGAAGGAGGTCGCTGGTTGCTTCCTGGGCGGGGAAGGAGGCAGCTGGAGCTGGTGGGGGCTGGAGAGGTCAGTGGTGAGTGCGGGTGAGGCCGGGCTCACTGGGAGAGAGGGTAGCTGGCGATGCCGCCCATTCTCCTCTTCCAGGCACAGGGAGGCCAAGGGGTGCCAGCAACTGCAGCAGCCCCGTTGGGGCTGCCAAGGTGTTCAGTGACTCCCACCATCCATCAGGGAGCAAATCCCCTGAAGCTCGGGGCTGCCTTGTCCCGGGCTCCTCCACCCGGTCTGAGCTGGACACTGACACACAGCTAGCCCCCACGGCCACCCTGTGAGCCAGGCACTGCCACCCCCAAACTGAGGGTTGGGGGCAGGTCACACACTAGGAAGCTGAGGAGGGCTTGTGGTCCCCAACCCCTCCTGCTCTGCGAAGTCTCAGCATGGCGTGAATCCAGAGTCCTGTGGAAAGCCTCAGGCCCCTCTGGGTGGCTCCTGTCTCTCTGGGGCGGGGGGCAGCTGGGAAAGAGGAGAGCAGGGTCCGGCTTGCTATGGGGAGGAACAGGCTGGGCCAGGGCTCTCCGGGTCACCGGCCATCCTGGCTCCACCTCAGGTGAGAACTTCTGCCTGAGTCAGGGCGAGGGTGGCGGGGGTCACTGGTGCCGATGGCCCTGCCCTGTTCTCGCTCAGCACATTACTTCACCTGAGAATCAGGTACCACCTGCTCCAGGACCCCAGCTAAGGAACCAGACATCTGTGCCATGTGTTCAAGAAGAGCACAAGCCCCAGCCCTGGCCACACGAGCCGAGCGCTCCCTCCCATAGCTTGCCCACCATGCTCCTGGATGCTGGGCCTCAGAGCGAGCTTGGCCTTGAAATCCGACGGACCTGGGATTGAATCTCAGCTTCACCATTCACCAGCTGGGTGACCGAGGGCACTCTGGTTGCCCTCCCTGAGCCTCAGTTCTGCTCCTCTTTGTATTAGTGATAACAATGGCACATCCCTCTGTCAGTTGCTATGAGGACGAAAGGAAGTCTGTGCTGGTCTCAGCCCTGCCCTGGAAACTCCGCCAGTGGGGGGGGTGGGGGGGGTGGGGGGGGTGGGGGGTTGTGCAGAATGAAGCCGCTGCAGCCACTGGAGGTCAGACAGGGCCGCCCTGCCCAGGCAGGAGAGGACAATTAATTTTGACAAAGGTGCAGGCAGGACAGAGTGGGGGAGAGAGAGGTGGACCCTGGGGAAGCAGGACTTGGATGGCCGGGGAAGGGTGGAAGGATGCCTCGGGAGAGGGCAAAGGCACAGGCCTGGAGGGAGTGTGCCTTGGTCGGCCTGGGCCAGTGTGACTGCATGCGACAGACTGGCTGGCCTAGGGACAGCAGATACGTATTGCTCCCGGTTCCGGAGGCTGGGAAGTCAGAGGTCGGGGTGCCAGCGTGGTCAGGTGCTTCCTGTGTCCTCACACTGTGGACGGGGCTGCGGAGCTCTCTAGAGTCTCTTTCATAAGGCTCGAATCCCACTCGGGAGGGCCCCACCCTCGTGACCTAGTCACCCTGCAAAGGCCTCGCTTCTTGCTTCCATCACCTTTTGGGGTTAGGATTTTAACATTTGAGTTTGGGGGCAACATGAACATTCGGACCACAGAAGAGTGTGTGTGTGGAAAGTGGAGGTATCTGGTGTGGCTGGAGCGCTGGGCAGGTGGCCAGGGAGGGAGTGGGTGGGACAGGGACACGAAGGGGGGCTGGGAGCAGAGGGAGAAGGCCCGGGATGCCAGGGAGCACAGCTGCACTTTGAAGCGAGGCCCAGGCGTCTCATGCCTGCGAGCATAAGCCGGGACACCGGCCGTGCTGTGTGTGGGAGTCACTGCGTGCTCTGGGAGGCGGTGAGGGGGCAGGGAGCAGGGGCGGGGAATTAGTGGGGCTGAAGGGTCAGGACTGGCTTTGTGGAGGAGGGGGACCCAAGCCAGCTGGACAAGTGCTGGAATGTGGCTCCACAGAGGGAAGGGGAGGCCCCCAGGGGAGAGGGTGAAGAGAAAAGACACCGGGTTTGGGGGCACAGGGAGGGAGGGCCTGACCCCAGCTCTGATCCAGAGAGGAGATTAAGTCTCCAGGCCAGAGAGGAGCTAAGCTCTTGCTCTGGTGGCCAGCCCAGCTGCCCCAGAATCAGCTCCTTTGTCCCACAGGCTTCTGTCCCTCCCCAACCTCAGGGCCAAGGATCTGGGCCAGGAGCCAATAGGCCCCTGAGGCTGGAGCCCAGCCCCTCCTGGAGAAAAACACACTGAGGCCCCAGGGGCAGCACCTTGCCCCAGGTCACACAGGGAGTCTGTGACCCAGGCAGGGCTATAAACCCAGGGCTCCTGACTCCCAGCCTGCTTGCTGAGCAGCTCACCAACAGCTGCAGCTTTACACGTGAGGAAACTGAGGCTCAGCATCACCATGGAGGGCTCAGATCCCTCCAACGCTCAATACTTAACCTGGCATTCTCTCTGTGCAAAGCCCACGCGGGGCGCCTGGACCAGGTCCTGGGAGGGTGCGAGGCACAGGCAGTGCGGCCTGCGGCTCTTGGGTTGGAGGAGGAGCCTGGTCAGTCTGCCGGGGCAAGTGCCTCAAGGGCAGGCCTCTGAGAAACCCTCCCTTGACCCACACCAGCCCAAATGGTCAACTTACTACACATCAGAAATGACATCTAGAACCAGGGTTAAGAGGTCCGTCAGCAAACCTACTGTGTGCCAGGCACTGTGGCACACACTGTGACCGGGGAGAGAAGCGGCCCGAGGAGGCCCAGAGAAGCTGCTCACAGCGGGTCTGGCCCGTGTCATGTGCCTGTGCACCCACTCTCCCCCACTGCCCCCTCCCCCTACCCCCCCACCCCCGCATCATGCTCTACTTGTCTCAAAACATTCAGAGGACACTGAAGGGATCTAGCAAGTCTTCTCCGCCTACCAGTGCCTTTCCCATATCCGCCATCCTTTCAAAATCTCTAGTGAAATCCATCCCGCCTGTCCCTGAGGATCAGTGCCCCTCCCCCACGACCCCCTCCTCCAGACTCTGGGAAGATCCCTAGGAGTCTAACCCACGCCTTCTGGACCCAGTGGAACACACACCCCAGGCCCGTTCCCAAGGGCTCCTGTCAGGAGGGAGGGGTGGGGGCCGTAACTCTCTGGCATCTGGCAGAATCCAGTTCTTTCTGCTGCTGGGTGATGTCACCTATTGTTGAAGGGCTGTGCTTTTTATAGCTTCTGCCGCAGCTCTCAGCTCCGGAGGGCGGCTGACAGGCGGCAGGGAAGGGCGCTATGGGTTTCCAAGCCTCCTGCTCTCAGCACTTCTCCTCCTGCAGCCACAGAGGGAGAGGTTCCTTCCTTCCTTCCTCCCTCCCTTCCTCCCTTCCTCCCTCCCTTCCTTCCTTCCTCCCTTCCTCCCTCCCTCCCTTCCTTCCTTCCTTCCTTCCTTCCTTATTATTTTATTTTATTGTTGTTCTATTACAGCTGTCCCAATTTTCCCCCATTGCTCTCCCCTGCCCAGCCCACCCCCCTCCCATGGTCAATCCCCACCCTGTTGTCCTTGACCATGGGTCCTTTATACTTGTTCCTTGACTAGACCCTTCCCCTCCTTAAGGGGGGGAAGAAGGGAGAATTTTCTGACTTCTGAAGGAGAGGAAGGGGTGGTCTCGGGAGAGTGGAGGAGGAGGGAGAGGGAGGCAGGCCCGCTCCCTGGTGGGCCGAGCTCAATATCTTTCCTTCGCCTTCTATCCCTTTGCTCCTCCATCCGGCGGCTGCCCTCAGCCACCCCACCTCACCCCACCCTCCTCAGAGACGATGGGCTAGGGGTGGGATGGGGCTCTGCCAGAAGCAGCCAGAAGACACCAACCACCGTGCCCTCCTACGCACTTGAGAATCAATACCTCTTGGAGCTGGGAGGGAGTAACACACTCTTCTTAGAGATGGAAGGACAGTAGCCCCAAGAGGCCTCACCGATCCACTGCACAGCCACGGAGACACTGGCAGTGTGGCTCCTGTGTCAAGTAGCCAGGCCCTGGAGGCCACAGGCCTGGGCTCAAGCCATGGTTCTGCCAGCCTCCAGATGCGTGACCTTGGGCCTGTTCCTTTACCTTCCCGGGTACCAGTTGCCCTGCCGTAAATTGGGAACCATATTGGTTCTCAATCATGAGAACCACATGAATATAAAGATGTTTTGTGGCTAC